CAGCACCAGAAACTACAGCATAAGAAAATGGCAGCAGCATGAGCCAATAGGGGCTAAGGTCTTGTCCTGATGCAGCAAGCAGAAGTTCTCCTCTCCTACATATTCCATATGTTAATAGCATAGGAAGCTAATTTTTTATTGAAGTAACAACAGGTCAGATTTCTGTAATCACCTGTAGATGTAGTGATGCACAGCAACAACTATAATCAAAACTAGAAGGTAAAGAAGCAATGGAATATTGGAGTATTTCTCTGCCAACTGCTCTGGTGTATAAACTGAAACGCAAGTCATTTATTATACATCAGCTTACATCCATTAACATATCTTTAAATGAATATTTAACTTATCAAATAAGCACCAATGAGTTTACTAGGGATGGAATCTCATCAATCAAAAAGCGTTGAGAACTGAAAAATTCAAATGTAAAGAACAGGAGGGAAAAATGTCCAGCTAATATACCAGGAGATTGGTGATTGCCAAAAGCAACTAGAAAGGTGTTTCCAAGAACAATGAATGCTGTGGCGACCAGTACCCTGTTTAAATGACAAAAATTAAGCCACTAGAATTCACATAACCAGAATGAAGAGTGATAAAAAGGAAGCACGAGACAGGAGTCTAAATTTGATTTAACTTACTTGACAGTCACCATTTTGTTCAAGACAAAATAGGCGAATGCAATATTTGATACAAATTGAACAGACCCCAGGGCTGCAAGTAGTGACTGCACGACAAGCAGAACAAGAAAAAGAAATCAGAAGCACATGGAATGTGCCCAGCCAATTAAAAAACGAATATGTGACATGTACCAACTCACCCGCCCCCAAAAAGAAAGTTATGTTTTATGAGAAAAATAAAACCACTTCATATGTTGAGCTTGAAATCCCATCAAACAGTACACAAATAATACCTGAGCAGCATACCCAAAGGAAATGAAATTAAGGCAATTCCCAAGAAAGAAAAATACAATTCCTGCATATCAAGATTATGAATGCAAATCAGAAGCCAGCAACCAGCCAACAGAGTTATAAAGAGCAAAGCCCATAAATAAATGCAATTAAAACCATACCAACTCTCCATGACTGGAAGTATATAATAGGCTTTGGGGTCAGCTTTCCATCACTTCCAATTGCAGAATGTCTTTCTCTCTGCAGTAAAAAGCCCGTCATCTTAATTCCTCCCAGTGATTTCATTATTGTTAGAACAGTTTTTTCTCAAATATTGTGATTGTTGCCACAGATATCCCAGGCTACATCATAAAAACAAAATTCAAATATTCATATCATGACACTAATCAGATATGAAACAAACAGAATCAGATGGAACGACATAAAAAGGTAACCCTTTCAATCAATGGCAGAACCACGTTGGAGGGAGGGTGCACAACTACCTTAGATTTTGCTAAACGCATGTACATAGCATAGTTATTGATAACAAGCCTCAATATCTCTTGAAATTTTGAACCCACTGGACCCACAAAGTTTAATAAGCTCATACATGTATTTTCTAATTGTATGACATTTTAAATTAGACCCATTCACTTCACATATGTTTTTTTTTTCCCCCTCCTTTCCTTCATTTCATTTTTACTTTGATTTTCTTCCACCTTTCTTTTGCTTTTTCCCATTCCTCCTCACTTTCTGCTCTGAATAAAAAATTACCACTTGAATGTTTATGGCAATCACTCATTTCATTGAAGGCAATGGCAGAGGGATACCACCGAAAATAATTGCAAAACATTTTTTGTTACTTATTCCTAAAAATCAAACTGACTGTACCCTACAAAAGTCGGTGACCAAGATTAAATATTCAGAAAACCCATGTTAACTAAATTTGTCCCCATTTTGCGCAGCTAAAATCTGAAGTCATCATTGGACTTCATTACAAAATGAAAATGGGGATTAAGAAGGCACGTCACAAAAAGTTCTAACCAGAAGAAAAGATTTGCCCCACCTCATTATGGCCTAACTTAAGGAGATTTGTCCCAAAGTTTATAGCAATGCTTCCGATAAGGTTGATGAACGCTCCAACGATCCACTCCCCCATGGATCGTGAAGGAGAATTTGCATGCAGTAGGAATGTGAAGATGGTGTATAATCAGTCAATAGTAGTTCCAAGTAGGCTCGCGTGCGAAATAGTAGTTCTCAATAGTCAGTCATTAGCTAATGAGATGAGAAATAGCCTTTCTTGTATGCGCCAAGTAGGATAGCATGCGAACATAACTTGATGCAAAGGAAGTTAGAATTCAGAAGAGAGGCAGCCTCCTGTCACCTACAGGATAAATCAAATGATTTAATTAAACTCACCCTTAATAATTGATAGGTGGTAAAAGTTATTTCAGATGGGAATTAAAGAGAGAAACCTATAAGTAAAATTAATAGACTTGCAAAAAAAGGAAATGAAAATGAAAAGTAGCAAGGGTTAACTAATTACAAGTGAGAACACCAGCAGAATTCGTCCGATCCTAGGGAAAGTGAAGACTAATTTGCACAGTGACTCTCGCTGTACTAAATGCAGGGGGAACTTGAATTGGGTGAGAAACAATACAGGACTACTACTAATTGATCTTTAAGAATTTGTAGAGGCATCAATGTCAAGACAGCAAAACCTAAAAGCAATAGAAAAAGAGGTAGCTGCAGACCAACATTCTTTCCCCCAGAATCCAGATCTGGAGATTTTACAAGAATGTTGACCCCAAAAGATCCAACTAAATGCGTCGGCAAAAGAAACCTAACCATTCAAAAGAGGACTGAGAAAGATTTAAAAAAAAAAATCGAAGATGATGACTCTTACGAATGATGAGGAGCCATAAAAAGCTTGAAAAGAAGCTAATTACCTCCCAAAGAAGAAAACGAGCTTTTCCCTCTTCAACCGAAACTCAGAACACCCAGCAACTTGAACTGGTGGGATCGATGCTTGGCTTCAACAGAATGACAAACTACGGGAGACGTGTGAATGCAAAATATTTTAAATGAAGTTAAAAACGAAAAACAGCATTAGACTTTTCACGATAAAATAGGGGCGCGACTTTTCTTGGTCCGGATCGAGGCGCCTAAAGCAATGCCCCAAATACAAGGAAGATGTGGCCGGAGCGCCAAAGACAGACAGAGAAATAAGCTGTCGGGTCAATACCACAGAAATAAGCAGGCAAAAGCGTAGGACTTGAGCGACCGGTACTCCTACGACTGCCCGCATATGATCCAGTACACCTCGGATACCGTCACATTTTTGTGAAGCAATGTCTCCACCGTTGATTTCTTGTTGAATAATCACGTCATCATTCGCGACAGCGCCCATAAATTTTCCTGTTTAATTACGGAGGGATAATTAAAATTAGGCAACAGATGTCCACATCACCCATGCTTATATTAGAATCAAAGATGAAGTTGAGTTGATTAATTATGCTTTACGATAATGTATTTTGAGAAAAACGGTAAACCGTCATTTGTTGCCCTTTCAAAATAGTTTTAAAAGGCATTTGGATATCATAAAAAGTATTTTTTTGCAAATCCAAATAATCTCCTCAATATATTTACTTCTTATTTCATCCAAACACGTTCTAGATAGGGCGGTATGAAGCTGGTCAACTTTGAATTCAGAGCAGTGATGACGAATGCTCTTGGCAAATTGAACAGGGATATGCTATCGGAACGGCGAGGAATATGCGAGGAAGTGAGAAACTTCGTCAATTAACAAATAATGGCGACGTTGAAGTAGGAATTCAGCGAATTAGAAAAACGTGACCCCCAAATGCATCCATATACAATACCAGAGGAAAAGCTTACAATCTTGAAGTAAAGACGAACACAGATGGTGACACAAGCCGATTCGCGACACGTGTCATGTCAGAATCAAGGTTACTCTTCGAGATATTGATTCGAAATTAAGAAAGAAGAATATGACTTCCTTTTTTCCTGCACAGATGTGTCTCGGGTTTGGGAGGAGCTGAACAACAACGCTAGGGCAAAATTATGGGTAGTTACGAAAGAAAGAACCCAAACCCCTACGTGAAATTGATCTTTTAGCCTTCGAGGCACATGGCCTGGGGATCTCATATTGTCGGTGGCATTTTCTTACCCAAGGAGGAACGATGAAAAGGGAGGGCTCCAAAAGACACAATAGATGGAACAGAAAGATTCTCACAAAGCTTTAATAAACATTTTACCACCATCTCTTCCATTAACCCAGAGTTGCGCGCCAGGGCATTACATTTAGATGTGTATATTCTTCTTGTCAAGTTCGCCGTATTAGAATTTCGCTGTGGCAGAGTGAGCCACATTCTGCAGGTTGAAAACTGCAGACTTGCAAGTCAGTGTTGGAAAATGAATGGCGTTGACAAGGCAATCCTTATCTTAATAATGTTCTTAATTGCGTCCCATTCCCGTCGTATACTTCAGCAGGACCTGGGAATCTAGTTGAAGGAAAAATGGCAAAGATCAAATCAATCATGTAAAAAATATTGAAGGAAAGAAGAGTTTTATGTAATTGATACATTGCGTTTCACTGATTTGTTGATATACATAGCCATTGTCGCAAAGCATACTAATCTGCTGATAGAGCAAAGGATCTTTCAGGCTTCAACACAAATACAATACGAAAATTACTTCTGGGATCACGCAAACTATGATTTTTTTCAACCAATAAAAAAAAAAAAAACAGAGACAAGAAAAGGTCAGTCAGCAGTTCGGGCCCGAACTGGGGATAAACAAATTCCCAATCTTATTCACATGCTCGATCAGTATGTCCAAAGGATAGTAAGTGACAGTTAGAAGTGAAGACCTGGGATCAAAAAATTGTTCATAAATTCCTTAAGAACTAGAGGACCATTAACACCACTCTGCCAAAGAATTAAGCTATTAGACGTTCAGCCTCCAAAGTCAAAAACAACAACAAAAGACCAAAAAGACGCAAATAAAACAAAGGAACTTGACAGCCACAGTAAAAATTCCATATTATTACACAAAATAACATGCAACCAAGGAAGGATCGTTCCTAACATATGAACTTGCAGGCTGTTTCCAAAAATGAAAACACTTCAAGAATGAGAGACAACACATGCATATGTAGGAGAAAAGTCACCATGCAGCTCCACTCACCGACGCAGTCTCAAAGTTATACTGTATCTTATGTAATGTGTTCAATTAATTATACTCAGTTACTTATATAACATTTGTCTTTTTATAATGGGGAGATGTGAACGCCTCATATATCTGCTGAAATTCCTAATTCCACTGAAGTAGATGTTACAGAGCATGATTTTCTTCCCACAGCGGAGTCATGGAAACCTTTTTAAGAAATCTAAGACCACAAGGGAATATTGGAGGCTCGCCCTAGTTTCTAGGACGTGCTTTCAGTTTTCTAATAATTGATTGTATATGCTGTGAGCAAGTAGCGGACCACCATAGGGAAATCTTGAGGTGTTAAAACTGGATCAAGTCCCAGAAAACATAAGCAGGTTCTGCTCACATGGATCCTAAGCTTAACTGCAAAATTGGGTATGCAGATCACCAGCAGTGTCGTGAGATCATAATTTATGCAAAATAAATTACCGATAAGAACATGTAGGATGAATGGCGCAACGAAAAAACAAAATTCCTAAATCTTAGAGGTGACGTCTAAATCAATTCTTGAAGAACATAATGGCTTATACTACCCAAAGAAATGTGTAAGCAATTACTTAATTCGTTCATTATAATATTATTGTCGTTACCTTGACCGGTTTATATATCTTTTGAAATAAGTGATATGCAACAAAGAAGCAAAATGTAATTTAAAAGCAGTAACATTCAAGAGGAAAATGGACAAGGGAAGCTAATTACTACTTGACCTCAATAAATAGGCCGTTGGTTGTATACAAGAAGTCCTCATGTTTCGATCGGATTACAAAATTCTCAAGCGAAATACAATGTAGCACTGCTCAGATATCATTACCTAACACAACGATCATACTAATACTGCCCAAGAAAAAGAAAGAGGAATTACATCAGAAAGAAGTGCTGAACAGTGAAAAGGAAAAAGGACAGGAATGATTCAAGCCTGCGTGCCAGTCAATGATTTCATCTGTATTTGACTATGATTACTTTCTGAAGGGGAAGTACTGTTAGGCAAGGCCTCGTAGGAGCCAGATCTCCGGGTGCCAACGCTCTTTGCAACGACAGCGTAAGTGATCATGACAATGACCACCACAAACATTACATGAACCAAAAACAAAAGATCCAGAATAGCCACAGCTCTGAACTTGAATTCCTCGACATCACACTTGGTCGAACCCTCAACCCCATTTACCACATCAAGCAAACGATGACATCCTTCAGGAATAAATGCGTCAACGTACAGGGACAATCCTGTCTGCAAAGACCAAAGCCCCTGCAAGATTATAGAAGCTCCCAAACCAACATCCGCGACGAAGAGCCTGGGCTTACAAGCAATAACTAAGCACAAAAGGGCAGCGGTGGCTGAGATGCGGGCAGAAACGGAGTCACATTTCGCCTCCAGATCGGAGGTCTGGACGGAAGCGGAGGCGGAGGAGACGGAGTATTGCAAGAAGAAAAGGGCAGAAGCTAGGGCAAAGATGAGATCATTGGGGAGGGGAAGAAGGGTGGAGGAATCGGAAAGGAAGAGGGAGAGGGAGAGGATAAGGAAAAGGAAGAGGACGGCGGCGGATTGGAGGGAGGTGAAACGATGAACTGGTGTGTGGCCTTTGAGGAGAGGGTCGGAATCGGAGGAAATGATGAGCTGATGGACGAAGGCGATGAGAAGGCAGACGGAGATGAGATAGAGAGGGAGGTGACGGAGGCGGTGGTTCTGAGTATTGGAGGAGGAAGGAGGGAAAGGGTGGAAGGGTTTGGCGGAGTAGGAATGAGGGGATTTGAGATAATAGCGAGTGGAGGCGATGAGGTTGTAGAGACCAAGTGAGACCAATGCAGAAGACGAGAACATGTGATATAAGAGGGCCGCCATGGCTGATCAGAGTGTGAGAAATGAGTTTCAGTTAATGTCGGGGGTGGTTGGCTATCAGTTAGATCCTCGGCAGCCTGCTTAAGACCAGGAACCCGATCATGTTCTGCAGGCTATCAGCTTTCCTCGTCTTCTCTTCCCATTCCCTGTTCCTCCCCCTTCCCCCTCTCAAAAGTCAGAAGGCGGTCACCGGGTCTAGATCCATTCTTTAGGGGGTGTTTGGATGTTGCGAGATAAACTCCTTGTACATTGTCAGATTATTTTTAATGATTTGATTCCATCCAAATAAAATATCAAAAATCCTAACGTGAACTTTCCAGTACAGTGCTTTTGTTTGTTGGAAAAATATGAATTCTGCAGACTTTTTTTAATTAATTAAAATGATTGAGAATTGGTATACAAATAATAAATAAAAATTAAAAATAGTAACAGCAAAATTAATGATAATGTAAAAAATTATAGACTAATAAGCAATGACGAAGCATCTGATTCTGGAGGCCTTACAAAGTTTTTTTTTTTTTTAAAATAAGTGGTCGCGTAAAATGGCCGAAGCATGCGAAAGAGTGCATTCATCCTTTCCAAGCCAGCAAATACTCGCATGTCAGAGTTTAAAATCCAAATAACCAATTTTTGTTGCCTTTTTTTCCAGATGAAAAGATATTCAATAGGATTAATTTTGTTTAAAAAAAGGATTAATTCAAATAAAATAAAGTGAAATATAATAGTTTAGGGCTCAAACTCTTGTAATACATATTTTAAAAAAAAAAATTGAACTGAACCGTATCTTCTTCCCTCAAGTACTAGAATGATACCCAAACAACACTCCTAAGGCAATGGGAGAACTGCATCATTTCCCTCCTTGTCATTGATTTGATACAAAGAAAACCATAAGAATGGATTAATTGGCGTGCACACAAATGGGCCCAAACACCATAACAGCAACGTAAAAAGAAATACACAAACATTTGGCATTAGCCAACCTCTCAAGTTTCAGCAGTATCTACAAACTCTAGCACCTTTACATTAGATATCCGGCCAGTTTTCTCTAGAATCGCTACTCCTTAGCTTTTTCCAACTTCCAGCAGCGGTCGGTTTAGATATCAAAACTGCTGGCCGTGAAGGGCCTTCATAAACTCCTTACGTCTCGACCCAGTTAAGGACTCACGGAATAAAAGAAGAGGTTAACAAATTCACACCAAAACTAGAAAGGTGATACCGAACAAGCGAAAAGCCTGTCCAGCCAAATCATCCCATACCAGCATGAACGCACTTGCATACTAAATAATGAGCAAAATAATCACAACGATCACCACAATTACAAAAATTATAGCCACCCACCAACACTGCACAGTTAAAAAAAAAAAAAATCAAATGTCGACAAATCATCAGGATGATTTAAGAGCAGTATGCAGCGACAAACCATCATAAAATGTCATACGCAGATATAAAATTGGAAGTCATCATTCTAATTTTAATAAAGCTGCCTTGTTTAGTTATAATGGAAGCCAAACTTTCAGGATGTGTTTGATTTCATGTAGGAAATCGCCAAAACCATGGTTTTAGTGATTTCTAATGTGGAATCAAACACTTAGTATTCGTTTCAATCCTAAATGTATGAGCTAGTTAACTTAAGTTAGTTATTTAAAAAAAAAATGTCTGCTGATTTTCTTAAAATACCCCTCCTTTTAGTCATTTATGTATCAGAATCTAGCTATAGAGGCAGTTCGGGGAAAAATACAATAATAATGGGGGCAAAGAAGATGATGGTCTTACATTTAGTATCAAAACAAATCTCTAACTAATTCTTATACTTAGGATTGGAGGAAGTTATTGTTAGATGTTTACTGGAGCTTACTAGTATGTCAAGTTCTTCACAACTTACCCATGAAGATTTAGATTTCATACTTTTGGAAGCCTTGGCTAACTGTGTAGTAGCTTGGGTTGTTGCACCCGCAGTAGCACCAATATTTGATTGAATATCATCTGTCACAATGAGGCAAACAATATGAGGGAAACAGAATTAACTAAATGTAGCAGCAAAATGTCAGCAGAGAAAATGCAGCAACATAAGGCAAGCTATGTAAATTCCCATTATGCACAATGGTAATTTCATTTACCAATAACTACCCCCTGCTCATGAACCAGAACGGCTAAGTCCTTGAATATTTCATTTACTTGTCCAATTTGCACCTCTACCTCCTTGATGCCCTGTTCTCTTTCTTCAATCATGGCCTCATTGAATGCGATTTCATTATCCAATAAGAGTATCTCCTGCCTTCATTTTTATCATTGATCAAGAAAATCATGCCATCAATAACAGCTCTTGTGACAACCATAGAGTTGAGTGTGAGACATAAATTACGCAGGGAACAATGGAAGTAGCGGAAACCTTTACCTCTTTTGTTCCCTGATAAAAGGTTGGCTTTCCTGACCTATGTCAGTTGATTCTCCGACAGAACCAGAGCTGTTTTTATTTAAAAACAAAAACATAAATACTGTAATCAGAAAAGGCAAGGGGCATAACGATTTTGAAAGTATAGAAGCATATTCATCATGCAAAAAATCATCTGACCTTGCTGGTAGAGAAGAAGCAGGAGCAGCAGGAAGGTAGTTAGATTCACGCTCGGAAGCAAGCTGTTGCACTCTCTGGAATTCTTGTAACGTGGTTTGGAAATCTCTCGCCAGCTTAGCATCTTCAATTTTCTTACCAGACTGGTTCAACAAAGGATAGAAAATTAATGGAACTAAAAACAGGCCAAATTTTTTTCCCTTTCCCTCATTTAGGCAATTTGACGGCATGAATATAACTAGCCAATATGCTTTGAACGGGCCTAAATGTGAGCATCATATTCCGGGCCAAAGACAATATGAAAAGCGAAACAACAGTATGGCAGATTTTCTTCCCTTTTCTAGTTATCTAGTATTGGGGTAATTAATATGGGAAACAAAGTCACTCGAGATGCAGCAATTAGGCTAGGTGAAACAACAAACAGCTGAAAGACAGAGCGCGACATAAAGCAAATCATACATCGGCATCGGCAGCAATATCGGATTCGCTCAAGGCTTTGAGCTTTGCAGAAGTATCCTTCACCAGCTGCAGTATCCGCTGCCTCGTATCGTGCCTACCAAATAGTACATAAATTCAAAGAAAGCGGTTAAGTAACAAACAAAATCGCGACAGAAAACCGTATAGAAGAAAAGGCCAGTTTATCACCAAATAAAAAAAGAGAGAGAAAAGGGCAGTTAGGTTGAGAAAGTAGACAGAAACATACAGCTTCTGGCGGTGACCGACGGTGTCTTTGACGGTTCCAATGGCATCAACAAGTCGTCGAAAAGTGGCAACGCCTGTATTGATCTGGAAGATCCCAGCAGCCACCGCCTGGGATGGTGATTGAGTTCGGGAAGCGGGTCGCTTGGGTCCGCCCTGAATATCTTGAAAACTCATCCTGGATTCTCAGTAAATATCTCCAGTCGACCTCAAGTGAAAACCACGGATAAAAGCAGACTAGGAAAAAGCGGGTAAAATAGCGGCAGCAGAGCAGAGAAGTTGGGGTCAGTGTTTGACTCGGGAAGCAACTAACTTTTCTGGGCCTTCCAGATCATTAGGCGATGAATCGATTGGGTAAAGGCAGTACGTGGCCTTTTTTATTTGGATCAGAAGGCAACTAAACGCATTAATGACATTCAGCGTGGCTTGCGAGAATCCGTTGCGAGAAGAACCGCACCGGCAAAATACGTTTACTTCGGCCGATCCCGGAGACCCCGCGGCCGCTCTACGGTAAATTACAGCAGAGGAGAGAAGGAGCGACAAGGTTGACATCTTCATTTATTTCTCTTTTATCCTAGATGTACAGTCTACGGTGTTTCACGTTCATCTCATCGTATTAGCTGCGGGATAGTCAACACCCAACAGATGGTAAATGGAAGAAGGCACGTGACACTTTTATCTTTTTTGGTATACAGGAACAAGTCATGAGTTTCTTCCTATCCAACGTCACAAAAACGGCCCAAATTGGAGAAAGGCCCCTGGACATGTGCAGTGGATTGATTTCACTTCGCTCTCCCCCTCCCCGTTTGGGTTAATTTTAACATTACTGCATTAACCTTTATAGTCTTATAAGCATATAAATATAGAGTAATTCTCTGTGGAAAAATCTTAATCAGTATGCACAATTCATCTTTATTATCTGATTGATTCATTTTTATTCAAATTTCAAAAATTATTCCTTTACATATACAGATTCCTTCCGGAGTATGATTTATTTTTTTCTTCTTACCTTTTGATTTGACAAGTTTGTTTAAAACCATAGATTTAAGAACCCTGACCAAAGAAATTTCTGTTACATTTTCCATGATGGCTTTGATTTTTGGTTATGATTTTGCGGGTAGTGAACAGTTGAAGTCTATCAATCTCTTGACTTGGAATTTAACAAGTACTTTCTCATAATTGAGGAGCCTATTTTTTATATTTATATATATATATATATATATATATATATATATATATAACACGATTGAGGAGCTTATTTTGTTGGCAGCAAAGTTGAGTTTATTTTATTTATGAATGAAAAATCTCAAACATTTTTATCTGTTGTTTTCTTTCTCTAAGCCGGATCCCTGCAATTCCTGCTCAGAAATGAATAGCCAGTATCAATCACCAACTTTTCAACAATGACGACGACCTCCTTGCTCTCACATCTGTGTGTCCCATATATACGTAACCCCACACCCCTTTGCTTCCATCAAATCCGAAAGCTCCTCCCTCACTGCAGGTTCCATGTCAACGTTGTGAGGCAGCTCAAACTTCACTTGGCTCCCTGCAAGTTTTAGCCTTTGATCCTTACTAATAGACTGGAAGCTCCGCTGGCTTAAAGATCCGCCAGAAATGTTGGCCAGACCAACATCGTGGGGCACAAACGATGCTAGGCTTGAACTTGATTGCGAGGTAATGCAGCTCGAACAAATTATCTCCGAATTCCCATCATTCATGAACTGTGATTTCATTGCTTCCGTAATGATAAACTCTGCAATACTCTGTACAAGCAGGGTCTCGAAGTCTCCATCACTGCTTCGAATGTCCATATATCCACATCTAACTGTGCACCCACACATACGATATGGTCTGGGGCAGACTCGTTCGATAAGAAAGCACTTATCAGGAGAGACACGTGGAACAGGAACTGATTTCACACAAACAAACACCAACACCTTATGAAATGCGGGGAGGTTGGTGACGAAGTGAGAAAATATAGCAGGAACTCCTGTTGCCAGTTCTGAGTAGATGAGGCCTATTCCTGGGACACGAACAATGCCAAGCGTAGGGCCCAAGCCTGTTACCCATCGCAATGAAACTTTATTTTCCGGATCAAAGTTGTACCTCTGTATAGTGCCATAATACCAGGTATACATACCAAGCAAAAAGAAGCAGCTGGACAGAAGAAAAAAAAAAAAAAAAAGGAACCCACCCTCCTTGAGGAACTTTCATGAGCACGGCTGATAGGCATAGACCCTCAATCGCCCAAAAGAACGAGCACGACAGTTCTGTTCCAGACGAAAACAATAACAAGTGCCATAAAAAACGTAGTCACAAATGTATCCATGGCCATCACGAAAGCAAGTCCTGGTCACCCAATACCAAAGAATCAATCAGAAAAGAAAAGGAAAAAGTGATATATGATCATATCTGCATGCGGGTCGTCTGGATAGTAAGAAAGGAAAGAAAACCTCTTCAGTTAAGAATACTTACCATAAGCATTGCCGATCAAGGTTATGTCCTAAAATCCGATAGTTGAAGCAAGAGTCAAGATCATGAGGATCCAGCATTGCCACACATGTTTTGAAGTATGCACAACTTTGACGGGCTGAAAGAAACCAAATGCATGGCACTGTTTGATGATAGAGAAAGTGGCGGATATAACAGCTTGACTCCCAGCAACTGTCGCAGGGGTGGCAATAGCAAATACAGGCCAAAATACAAGTTCTGTAGGACGAGTAAACATAAACAAGCTCAAAATAATGAAATACTCCTCCGATCCTTAATATAAGACCCATTTAACAAATTTGATTAGATTAAGGAAGTTAGGTAAGTTGGTTAATTATAAGAAAAGTGACACATTTTTTCTAAAACACCATAATCATCGTTCTTAATACCCCCTCTCCCTCTTCTACTTAATTATGGTTGAGAGAGTATCTATAGGGGTAATTTAGAAAAAATTGATAAATATGAGAAATGAGTTTTATATTTAGGACCAAAAACAACTCAAGAATTGGGTCCTATATTAAGGACCGGAGGAGTATTAGTTTACTAAATTCTGGTAAGCAGCATCAAAAAGTCAGATGATCCAACCAGGTATTGAGTCATAGAAGCTATTGGGAATACAATGCAGGTTTTTGGATGAGAATGCCGCTTGGCCCATGTACTGTACCACTAAACAAGGGTATACAACAACAGCAAATGCAAACTGCACAGAATATTGAATGATTACACAGGGCCGTAGAGATAAACTGCTGCATATTCTTCAGATGATCCTAATTATCATTATCACAATAGTCGAAAAATATGCTTACCCTAATTGACATAGCGGTGAGGTGACCAAGATCTGCGAACATAGCTTCAGACCCTGGTGAAACGCAAATTGCTCAGTCAAGAGGGTGAACCAGCCTGATCCAAGTTCAAAAATCCTCTTAAGAGTCTTGTAAATGAAAATTTATTAGATTTATTAACCAAAATATCAGCCATAACGAACGTGCATAAGGTGACCAACAATTTATGGTGCATAACAGGCAAAATGCTATGCAGGCATGATCAGGTCTAACAGACCAGCACTATAAAGGAGAAACCCTCCAAGAGAATTCCAACCATCGAAACCAGTCTCTCTGAAGAATTTGATGATGTAACGCGGGGATATCGCGTACACTATTTTTGGATTCCAAAATATCGTATTATACAGCCCAACAGACAAAATGGATGCAATCCAGATTACTAGCAATGGGGCAAACATAAATGCTACTTTGTGGGTTCCGTAATGTTGGAGAGCAAAAAGACCGACCAATACGATCCAGGCGAGCAATACAAGTTCTCCTGCAAACAACATAAAACTTCTAAAACAAAACCAACGACCTAGCCGATAGGATTGGACAAGAAAGGACAGCATAAATCAGAATGTGTAACTAACCTTGCGTCAATGTTTTCTGTATAACCCGCAATCCTGATATTGACGCTAGAACTGCAGTCAAGGATGAGGCATAGTTAACTTACTAGATAGTCTCATAGGAGATAACCTTTTGATGCTATGATATATGAGCTACAAAAGGATGCTTCACTAGAAATAAAATGAACACAAAGAAGTGCTTTAAAGGATATTGGCCACTGGGTTTATTGTGATTATTACTTTGGTTATCAATTTCAGGATGAAGCTGGAAGGTCCATAATGACTCCAAATTTCCCTTTTGCCTCGGTAATGCACATTTCTAACAAATAATATGTAGCATGTACATATCCTTCTCGGGTAATTAAGGTAAAAGTGGCAATGCGCGCAAATTGGTAATTGCAGTTAATACCTCAGATTACATCAAAATGACATCATGAGAAGCTCATTTCAAAAACCCGATTGGCATCTCACCCGATATTGCCAGCGTGAGCACACCATCACCTATCACCATTCAAACACCCAACAGTACTACAATGATTAGGCCCTCTCTGGATTTCCTATGATTGTCCAAAAGCTTCTTCCGTGGTGGAGAGGCATCAGCCTGTGATGAAGTATCATAGAATGGCAACTGCTCATCATCTCCTTGCTGGTTGGGTAGTAAATTAAACTTAACATGCCTGCAAAGGGGTGTGTAGAGAGCAAAGGTCCCCCCTGAAAAAGGTGGAAACACAATCAGAGCGGATACTTGACAGTTTTAGCTTTTGGTTTCCATCAAAGGGAATTTGGAGATGGAAAATAATCGATGACAAATCTTTCCGTTGAATATTACTCTCAGAATACCTTCACCATGGTCATCAGCACTCAATACGATGAAAATATAATTAAATAAGGGTATCAGCGTAAGGGTCCAGAAAATCATCGAAAAAGCACCAAAGATAGTCTCCTCATGACCTCATTTATGTGCTTCTGCAACTTTCCGCCAAACGTGCTTGTATAAACATATAGAGGTGACGTGCTTAGATCTCCATATACCACACCACAACTTTGGTATGATAATCAGCCTGTTGCGTTTTGGGAAGGGAAAAGTAACTTATATGTGTAATAAATTAGTTTGTAAATTTGATAACTGATTGTCATAACTTTTTGCCAATCTGACTTGTAGGTCAAAAGTTGCTTTTCAAGTATGATTGCAAAAACTTTACAACTTACTCATGACTAATGTAAAAGTAGCTTTTAAAATTAAAAGACACATTTATGTCTTTTATATTTATGTTGTTTTTGCTTCTTTCTATATATTTTTTGTGATTCTCAATCAATTTTTAGTTATTTATTTTAATATTCTCTTAAATGA